AAAGTCTTAGGTAATTTGGAAAAAGTAGAATGATAGTAATGTTCAATTTTAGAAAGAAGACAACATTTGGGACAAACTAAAAAGGAAAGTAAGACAAGTAAAATAGGACAAAGTGAGTATTATTCTAATACATAAAATACATTATTCTAACACATAAAGTAAATTATTCTAATACAGTAATACATAAAGTACATTATGTTATCCTATAAATTTTATTCTTACACATAAAGTATATTATTATAACTCATAAAATACATTATCTTACCTTAAAATATTTATTATTTTAACACATAAGTGCGCGTAGCATGAGTTATTATTAATTTTTAAAGTCAAAACGACGTCATTTTATACCGTGGTCCAAACAATAATTTGCCTTTGTAGGGGCCTATGGCCGGCCTTGCCTAGTTTGGACATAGTCTAGCCTATCTAGTAAAAAGGTCAGGCTTATGCCTATTTTAAAACCTATCTAGCTAAATAAGTAAATAACCCAGACTTATATGTACAAAGCCTAGCCTTCAAACCTACATGTTTGACCTATTTAGCTAATATCACACTTAAGTTTTTATCTATTATATTTTATAACTAATATTATATTTTTATATTTACCAATATCACACTTAAGTATGTATGTTAATTACCAAACCCTAACTATATTAGTTATGTATTAGTTTTGTATTATGTATATTTTTAAAAATTTTACACATATGTAGGCCTTAGAAAGACTAATATGTAGGTATTAAATAAGCTCAAATTTTATTTAGGATTTACTTTGGAATTTTTTTTAATGACTTACATATTAAATAGACTTTTAAAAAAGTTTCATTGTAGGGTCAGATCTGAACTTAACAGAAAGCCTACATACAGGCCTTGAATTTCTATAACACACCCCAGCCAAATTATCTAAAGTTCGACTTAACCGAGCCCATTTTCTGCACATGATACAATTTTCAGTGGATTAAGCAAAACTAATCAAGTTATTAATTCAAAAATATTTATATCAAGTCCAAAATCTTATAGGTGAATAACCCAATTTTAATTTAGAGTGCCCTAGTCTATGAATGTAGAGCTGGTGGGATTGAATGATTTGATTTTTTTTTTAATACAAAAAAAAAAAATTAAAATAACTGAAGAATTACATAAACTTAGAACTAAGTTTTTACTCTAACTCTACTTGACATTATGTAGTTATTTTTCTCTTTGGACGGCTTCCCAACCTTTCTTTTCTAGGTAACCCTTTTACGTTGATAAATGCATTTATATTTTAATTTTTACTATATATATAGACCCATTTAGAGTGGTAAATGTTTTCATGTAAATTGTGTCTTAATTCATTTGTAAATGGCAATTTCATCATCAACTAAGGCATTGACGAAAGGCAAAAGGCAACAGTATCACCCATCATATCTGTGTATCTCCAGCAACATAATTATTTCCGAATTTCTGTGTGGATAAGTTTTAATCTTGCAAGAATTCGCCCCTACAAAGTGGAATCCATTAGATTGCTATCTTCTCTTTTATTTTTCTTTTTTCCCTTAAATTATGAACTCCATGCCAGTAAAAGTGGCCATGTCAGCAAAAGAAATGTGCCACATCATCAACCCCCTGCTAAATTCGTAATGTTTTGATCAACGCTTAGACCATATTAATTTGAATCTTAAAAGCAACACGCCCACGTAACCACTTAGTGCTAAGATTCCTAATAATCCTTCCTAGATTCGGATCTCATCATGTATTGTGTGTGAGATTAAAAAGGAATTGAAGTTGAAAACACTACTTTTTGTTAGTGTTCATAAGCATGTTTGCTTTTGCTATTAAGTAAACTTGAGTTGGTAAACTGTACTAATATATATAACGATCATAATGACGTTACAGATAGTTATGCTCAACGAATTTTATGTTGATACAACTTAATAATAAATTATGGAGTGTATAGACACGCATAATTTTATTATTTGTAACTATATGAATATTTTAGACCTAAAATAATAACTATAAATACTATTTTTGTAACATGAAAAAAGATGATAACAATTCAAATATATTTTCATTATTTTTAACTTTGAAGACCCCGGATCTTTCAAAGCTTATACTTATATACAATATTCACTGTTTCATACTTTCATTGCATTTCATTCATACAACTAACTCAAATTCGACCTATATATGACTTGGTATTAGGACTCTATAGTGTTTAGATTAACACTAACATAACATCACTCAAAATATTTGATTTCACGCAGAAAAAATACTCACAAATTATGTTTCTCATCCTTAATTTGTTCAAACGCAATTAGGTTACGTCCATATATATACCTCTTCCTTTTCTCACACGGTACGTCTTTGTATAAAACACATCCATTTATTGATTTCTCTCTCATCCTTTCACTAATTTGTCTTCTTTTCACACAATACAAATTTTATTTTCCGTCTTTCTTTCCTTCATCACTTTTCTTTTGCCTTTATATTTTCTTTATCCAAAGTAGTACTATTCTTGTGACTCGGCTAACACAAAAAGACGCACCTTAAGCATTAAAATGACGCACCTTAAGTACACAAACCAGTGAAACCACGCACCTTAAACACACAAACAAAACACCTTATAAGAGCACAAACCACACACCTAAAGTTTTTAAATGCCGCACCTTAAGTACACAAACCACTCACCTTAAGCACACGAACAAAGCACCTTAAGAACATAGACCACACGCCTAAAGTTTTAAATGACGCACCTTAAGCATACAAATCACGCACCTTAAGAAAAAATCACGCACCTAAAGCTTTAGGCCGACCTACATTAAGTTTCAACAACTAACGCACCTTAAACACACAAACCACGCACCTTAACAAGGAAAACCACGCACCTAAAGCTTTAGATATATCGACGCACTTAAATTTTCAACACTTGATGCACCTTAAGCCACACAGTAAAAAAACCACTCACCTTAAGCACAAAAATCACGCACTTTGAATTTGACCTAGATGCAAAAAGATCAAATTACCACCACGTATTTTTTTAATCACAGTTAATTCTAGACATTGATTTAGACAAAATAGTTCAGATTTAACAGCACAACCGCATGAAACTGAATTCTATAATTATATATATATCATGATCGAGGACCACTGCAATTGCAAACTCTTCTCGAAATCACCCATAATGCATGCTAAAAGTTTTTTTTTTTCTTAATTTATCTTAGAATTTTCAGAATTCCAGGTCCATGCCAACCATATATTATATAAAACTATTAACAGAACCAATAATTATACATCACCCGGCCACTTTTTATTGGGTTCCATCCACATATCATCATTCCAATGTATACGACTTTCCCTCTCTGCTAATCAGCATTATATTTAACGTTAATTAAAGAACTCAATAATCCAAACATATTCCCATCCACAAAGATAACTTTCTTTAACCAAACTTAACCTCCAATAATATGCTAACAAATGGTAACCTTAGGAATCCGTATGTTAACGACATAACGTTTATTTGGAACATCCGTTCCTTTAATACAAGATTCCATTTAATTTGCTTTTGAGTTTTGATGGATTCCGAGATCATATCATATTTAGATTTGCCCATTATAAAAATAGATTATATAATCACAACATTACAAATTTGACTCCCAGCGAGAACGGTCTACCAGCCTTTTTGGTTTGAGTCGATCAGCTGTGAATAATTTAAGTTTACGTCATTCTAATTCTTTGTTGATTAAAATCACAAGACGGAACTTACCTAATACACCATTGCGTAACTACAAACTTGCTTTTCCCTTCATTTTAATAGATTGTTTAGGAAACGTTTGGTTTGACGAATTGGACGTACATGAAAAGGCATGAAAAGGCTTATAGGAATCTTGAAATAAATAAATTTTTGCATTATATTAATTAACATATGATGATGATCATTTCCCCCTGGTCCACCTCAACTTCAACCCCAACTCTATCTCCAAACCCTTAATTATTGCATGAATAATTTCTGTCATCATCAATACTAGCTACTACATTTCTGTAGATTTTTGGCCATGAATATAATATTTATTATCATTTCAAGCAGTCAAATTTTAATTTATGTATTTATTGAGTAAATTGGCACGTAATGATCAACGAATCTAATCCACACACACTGGAAAACATAAGTTATCATCTACCAATTCCATTAATTAAGGCCGGCACCAGCAAAATTAAAGTTTATTCAAAGATTAATCATTAATTAAGCTTGGTTGAAAATATAATTAATTAATTAGTCTACCCATACAGGAGAACAAGACTAATAAAGGCAGAAATTATTATTTACTATTCAACGTGATGATCACAATTCGAATCATTCCATCACTGGCTAATAATTAAGGTGGCAGGGGATGTGCTTCTTCTTCTGTTTTTAAGGTTGTTTTAATTCTTCCATTTTTCTGGTTTCAATTTCTTTTGTATGTTAAAATTATTTGAAAAAAAAAAAAAAAAAAAAAAAAACATCTGATCGAGGTTAAACATGTGTTTAATTAAGGTTACTTGATCAAAAAGATATGTGATTTACGAAAAAGTCTATAATCGCTACCTGATTGTATGTTCTGAGTGGAGGACACCTTGTAATCTTAGTCGGCAAAACACCACACGAAGATAAATCAACTTAAATTATTTATAGCTAATGGACTCAATATCAAATCCAGAAGACCAATAAGAAATTTCCATAAACAGTCAAACTTAAAAGGTTACCAAATCAAGTGAATACATAAAGCTATTCAAGATTCAGTCTAGAAATCCTAGTATAGGAGTGACACTGGCCCTCCTATCTAATGGACTGCTAAATCACCATAATTTATCCCGCTACATACAGTCTCTCCGAATTTTGGTTTTGAGTGCAAGATAAAGCTATTGAAACCATTAATAGCGCATGCATTAACCTACGAGCTTGTGTAAAGAAATGTAAATTTGAATTAAGAATACATATCATATTTCTCTATCAGATATATATTAAATGCACGTATCTTACACTAATATATATTAAAGAGAGTGCACATTTATATATATATATATATAGTTTCATGGAAATACAGTCATACAATCTGGGAACATGTACTGGAGACATAAAAACATAAAGAGAGTACGTAATCTAGCATTGATCGACGAAGACGACGACGACCCAGAGAGATGGAGGGCGGCCATAGATGAGCACCATAGCTACTATGCACAGATCAGAGTTAATTAACAACAAATACTAATTAATTCAACAAATGATTAATTAGCTTAGCCAGTCAAAAATATGCTATCTTGGTTGTCAAAGCTGCTATAAAATTGATCGTTAGTAGGAGGAGGAGGAGGAGGAAACGGCACTATCTTACTTTCTCCGCCGCCGCCGTGGTTATAGTCCGCCGTCATCAATAATGTCTCCGCCCAATAATTCCACATCGGAGACGACGACGACGTCACGCTTCTCGGTTGGTTACCGCAATAAACATCTCCCAACTGTTCGATGTCTTTCCATATCTCATCCATGGTGTAGGCCTTGGCGGCGGCGGCGGCGCCGTTGTCGTGAGTCGGCGGCAGCTCCTCGTCGACGCCGCCGGTGTCGTAGAAGTCCCGCTCGTTTGCCTCGTCCACCACCGACTCCACCGCCGGCGGGCTGTTGGCGGAAGAAGAGTAGGAGCAGCAGTTTGTGAGCGAGGAGGAGGACGCCGATATGCACGCGCCGCCGTTGTTGTTGTTCTTCTTCTTCTCCTGAGCCTTCTTCCTCATGTGGGTTCTCCAGTAATTCTTGATCTCGTTATCTGTTCTCCCCGGCAACTTCCGAGCAATTCTCGACCACCTACGTTAATCATAATTGCCCAACGTTGTTAGGAATGAAATTTTCATGAAAATTAAACAGTGGGAGATCATATCAGAATTAGAATTAATCTGTACAGACTTGTTGCCCCATTTGGAGTGAAATTCAAGAATGAGGCGTTCTTCTTGAGGAGTCATCTTGCAACGTTTGAGGCCAGGGTGCAAGTAATTCACCCACCGGAGCCGGCAACTCTTTCCGGTCCTTTTCAAACCTAGGAATAATGAAACCCAAAGTGGTCCAAAAAAAAAAAAAAAAAAAACACACACACACACACAGGAAAACAAACATCTTAGTACGATCTCAACGGAGGAACACATCCATGCCCAAAACAGGCCTACCTATTCAGTTTGTCTCCCGCCAACCTTCCAAACCTGAAACTTTGGCCAGAAAATCCCACCGGCGGTCGCCGAACAAGTTCACATAAAATACCAGCTGAACATCTTCCTGTTCCGTCCAGGGGCCCTTTCTGAACTCTTCATGAACCATTTTTTCTTCTGTCTTTGATCTCTGATTGCTCGCTCGCTTAGCTTCTCTGCTCTGATCTGAGTGGATAATGATGCAAGTTAATTTGTGGGTTGTAGTGATATTTATACTGGCCACATATATTTTCAATTTGCCGTGTAATGTCCAATATGATTTAAAAAAAAAAATTATATATTAGAATAATAATATGGTGATTTTATCTTGACCATCCAGTGGTCCGCGTGTGCCTGCTTAGTGAGAAGAGCCATGGCCATGGGTGAGTGATGCAAGCCACTAAATCATGAAATAATTATATTATGGAAAGAATGAAATAATTATATTATAGTGCAGATAAGAGACTGATAGGTTGATGTAACTCTCGTAATCTGATGTCCGTTTCAAATTCATACCATCACTGTTTATTATTATTATTTTTTTAAATCCCTCTCTCTTCCTTTCCAGAATCATCCATTCCTTGTTTGGGCCTCCATCTTAGGTTGTGTTTTGTTTGGCTAAACATAAACACATTCAATAAATTTATTTATTGATTTATTTTTGTAAATTTTATTTCTTATTTTTAAAATAGTTTAAATTTAACAAATTATTTTATTTTATTTTTTTTTTTATTCTGAATCCTAGCCAAAACTGTCTTTACTGTTTTGATTCGATTGCTACAGTGTCCATTAGGTTCAATTCGAACCGAACTGTGGTCATCCATACATACATATTAGTCCGCATGGACAGCTCAGTTGGTTACATATATGGGTGAAGTTTGAGGAGAATGACCAGGGATCGAGTCTCACCCGTAGCAGTGTGTAGAAACCTCTCAAAGTGAGGGAGGCTTCTAACTCAAGGGAAAAAATGTCATTTTTCCAAAAAAAAAAAAGACAAAAATCAAGCATGGCTGCATGGTTGATGATGCTCTATCCTAGTACAGTGTCTTGAGTTACATACTAATAATACTATTCAATATTCATATAACCTTCTTCTCATAAATAATAAGGGTCATTAAACAACAATTCTTAGACCACCAAAACAAATGTGACTTCTTATTATCTAGCTAAATACTGTATGCCTTCCATATGAACACAATAACTATCAGACAATCTGCAGATCAAATCAGAGTTTCAATGGGTTTTACTGAATTGAATTAAGCCAATCACCCATATGGGATATTGTTAATTCTTTTAATCATATAATTGGAGTTAAATTATTAGCTAGATCTTAAGTCTTCTTTGATCTTTAAATCTGGAAGCGCTATATCAACTGGTTCGGTGGCCCTTGACTTCAGCAAAGGCCATTGTTACGTTGGTAGTAGTATATATGATGCATGGGTATTGCAGACAGAGCCAAGATTGGGAATAAATAAAGTTATAGCAGCCCACAGAGAAACTGAAAACAAAGGTCAACTATGAGTCCGCAGCCTTGGAAAAGCAGAATGGCTTTGCTTAAAGTGGTAAAGCATGAATTTCATGACTTAAATCAGGAATTCCGCTCAACTCGTCCATCAATCATTTAGCTTATTAGCTACTGACTTTTCGTTATTCTGGGTTTAATTAGTTTTTCAGCTAGGTGTGTAAACATTATGATAATGAAGCACGAAATATTAATAGGAAAAATCAATTAAAACGATAATTAGATAAAATTTCAATGGAAGAAACACTTGCTCGCTTTTGGAAGACTGCTTCAGCATGGTGGACAAGTTTGATAAAATTTCTCTCACACGTTCAAAGAAGTAAATCAATGTGCCGACTTCTTGACTAATTTGGCGCAGACACTACTGGAAATTTTGAAATTTCCGACCACCTGAAAGTGATCTTAAATCAAGTTGAAAGCAAAAAGTGGTCGGAAATAGCAACAAGGATTTTTTCAGATACCAAAAGTGGTCGGAACAAGGCTTTCGACTTGATTTAAGATCACTTTCAGGTGGTCGGAAATTTCAGAATTTCCAGTAGTGAGAACAAAAGTTGGGGTACTTGGATATTCAATGACATTCCTAAAGGCTCGGGTACTCTTCTTAACCAGGATGCTGGTGGCCGCACCCTCATCCGTAAAATTAGATAGCTTCGGAGTTTAGTCTCTCTTCCTTCACTAAAATAATAATAATAATAATAATAATAATAATAATAATAATAATAATAATAATAATAATAATAATAATAATAATAATAATAATAATAATAATACTAATAATAATATTTATACTCGACTACAAAGAGCATGACACTGTGAGGTATATATTTCTAAATTTAGAAAGCTATCTTCCACTATATGTGCCGGTCCTTTAATTGGGTTATCTCAAAATAGTACACCCACTAGTTAGTAAGAATGAAGCCAATTAATTACAAATAGAAAAGACACTATATTGGAGAGTTTTTTTCTTCTTCTTTTTCCTTAAAAAAAAAAAAAAAAAAAAAAAAAAAAAAAAAAAAAAAAAAAAACCTTCTTAACTATATTTTACAAAGTAAAATAAAAATTACTTTAGATTTTGATAAGTTCATAATTAATCATATTTTACCCCATAATTACTCTTCATTTTGTGCTTAGAATGTGATTTTCATATTCAAAAAGATCAAGACATTTATTTGGTTTAGAGAAAATAACACTTTTTTCCCCTGAGTTATATACTTATAGCATTTTTCTCCCCTGAATTATTTAAGTGACAATTTTTCTCCCTGAAATATTAAATGGACATATTTACCCATAAAATAAATAACTAACTATGATTTCTTGTATGGCTTTGTGTCTGGTCTGCCTATATGCTTATGCTCTGTAATAATATTTAAGCACTTTTTTAATTGTTTTCCCTCAATTTCGACTCCTAAATGGACCCTTAGTTGTTTTCTTTCATTTTTCTTCATGTTTTTATTTTATATTGGACTTAGATTAGATTTCTTAAAATATTTGAAGCTTGTATTGAAGGATTTATACTTGAATTTCAAGGATTTTACTTCTACTTCAATATATTAGTTTTATTTCCTTTCTCTCTTTTCATTATGTTGTTTATACCTTATTCTTGTGTTTTTATGCTATCCGTGCTTATGAATCATTAGTTAGTTTAAATGCTTGATTCTTTATTGTTGATTATTGCATAAAGGGTAACCTAGAGTTGTTTGAGATTATGAAAGATTTGTGCATTGTACTTTTTAATATGTGTAGGAGTGTGTTCATTAACATATTTTTTGGAGGAATTTTGACCATAATGAGAGTTTGGTCAAAATTTCAAGCCACTCATTGCATAATTTGTATGTTCCACTATGAACAATAAATTATGGGACTTTTGATGTTTTGTGTGTTTAAAGAACTCAAAATTGATACGTTACAAAAATGAGACAATTCTTAGTCCTAATTCTTGGTTAGAGGATCATGAGAGTTTAGACAAAAATTTCTATGTGCATCTCGTCAATCTCTTGGTTAGTTAATTCTCCCACAATACTTAGATTGTGTTTTGTATCTAGATGATTATATTTCTTAACTTAAGTCATATTTCTTTTATTTTGTGTTTATCTCTTGTTTAAATGTGTTATTTTATTTTATTGTCATTGGAGTATTTGTAGAATGCTTAGCTTTTTTTTTTTTTTTCATTGTATTACTGTTTTAGTGCCAAGCTCCTTGTTATTGCATATTATATGCTACAAACCCCAATCACCTGATAAAAACATTACACTTGTACACTCTTATCTTGCTACATAGATTTTTTAAAACAATTTTTTAAAATTACTTTTTTTTTTCTTCTTTGTTGCATCACTATCAATCATCAAATGTGCTCCCAAATAGGTGAAATAGTCCACCATCCAAAAGAAAGAAAAAACTAAAGAGAGAAATATTGTTCAATATTAGTAATGATGACCATGAATATATTTATTTGAATATCATTGATTATAATAAGTTTTTAGAATTCTCAATTAGTCAAAAAATGTGTAGGTTCGTGTTGAAAGTCATTTAAATTGATATTGCCAGTTAGAAGTGTATCAAGTAACCTAGTTAGCTTGATTTGCAACTAATGTGAAAGGCTAAATGGTTCACTTGTATTTAGCCAGGACTAGTGAATCCTCTTATATGTTAAAGAGAAGAGTAGATTAGGGTTAACTCACCTCTATAAAAATTATGAACCAGTGTCTCTCTACCCTAATTAATTTCTTTACATTTTTGTTGGGCTTAATATTTACACACACTCACGCTTTAATTTAAAGTTACAAAAATTTCTTTAAGACAAGTTTAAAGGTTTTGTAAATACTCCATTATTTTCAAAAAGTTTTTAATTGTTAAAAGTCTATTATTCCGTCCTTTTTATAGTCTTTTACTTACATTTCCTTGGGACCAACATTGTGTATATATATTTGGAGGTGTCTTTAGTTTCTCCCTTTTTGCAAGGTCATTTAATTTATAACTTATCACGGCTATAAGATTAGTTTGGCTGGTAACTTTAATACCCCATTAATTAAAGAGGCAGAATCTTTGTATTTCTTTATAAAGTAGGGTGTGATATACCATACATTGTTACAATAAAAACTTAAAGAAGATGATGGCTTTACAGTTCAAATTAAAGCCTAATCTCTCTCTCTCTCTCTCTCTCTCTCTCTCTCTCCATCCATCCCTTTCTCTCACGTAATCACATTTGGTGTGTGGCAATTCTCTCCAGAGATAATCCAACAGCACTGAATCGAAGAACAATAAGATAAGAGATATTTAAAAGTGGCAAATGGCATCATCTCTGCCATTGTATTTCGTTATAAAGCACTAATATTAATACTCATAATCAAGTTTGGAATGATCAGACCTTCTCCAGGGAATTGAATAGTGCAGTGCAGTGCCCGCACTGCTTGAAAGGGATGACTGAGTAGATAAAATATGATTCTTATACTTAGATGGATAGTCACGAATTTGATTATTTTTAACACTTTTTTAGTCGAATCTATTGCATAGAATTTTCTTAGTGCGGTGATGGATATATTGGGCTCAGTCAGGATTGGCCAATGGGATTCGCCTTCAAGGTCGGCCTCTGGAGTCGACCAACCAAGGTTGAACGAAGACCGTGCATTGTGGATCGTCTTCTTCGCGCGAGGCGGTTAGATAGGCTAGTTTTTTAGTCTTGTGAAG